GTGCCATTACGTTCACAGAAGAACAGATATATAAGAGGTTGTTTAATGTAAAAAATATTGACATTTTATTTGCCATCTCCCTGGATATGAAGTTCCCACTTATTTTAGGTTTAAGTGTCTCCTCCACAGAGAGGGGCTTTGTGCACATACATAGATATTCCCAGGATAAAGGCAGAATCTTCTAAAACTAGGATCTCACTGAGCAGGGAGATGGTGCTTGTTCCTGATGGGAAGTAAATCGAGACTTACTTCTAGCTGGGAAGAAGCAGACGAGAAATTCAGAGTGGTAGGTCCCTGACCTGGGCAGATGAGCTAGAATATGAACTGTAAAGTCCATCACTTATTTTGGCAGACAGAAAATAGGAATTTTGGAGAAGAGTTTCGAATCAGGCACTCAGACCCAATAAATACTCCCATTCCTTGCTGAGCTCCCAAACACTCTGCCCTCTATCCAGCAGGCTACAGAGGATGCTCAGCACTGGACCTCTGGACCATGTGTCAACTGGAGCCACCTGGCTCACTTGATGACAACTCTGTGCCACCCCTCACTTTCCGTTCTGCATTCTTTCTTCTTCTTTCCCTTTTGTTCTTGTGCCCAGCGACACTTCAGTAACACCAACACAGGTTGACTTGAGCACATTTCTTTGGTGCCAAGATTGTGAGATGGCAATGGAAAAGATAATGAGAAGACAGACTCTTCAATGGGTTCAAAATTCTGGCTCTGCCACCTACCAATTACAGCCATGCATCACTTAATGACGGGGACACGTCCTGAGAAATACATTGTTAGGCAATTTTGTCGTGTGAACATCAGAGAGTGTACTGAAGGGGAACAAAATTTGCCACCCCAAATGTGTCTCTTTAACATGAGGACTATTTTAGGCTGATTATTTTTAAGAAACAAAGGACTCAGAAAGTTTTTCTTGTTACCTCCCGCTTAACTGCCTAAAAGAAATCAGATTTAAAAAAAAAGCCTGTCTCAGGAAGTGAGCTATCACCTTAGTGTAACATGAACTAGACGGTAGACAGTTTGTTGGGCTCCCCTCTGTGTTCTTCTGTTTCTGTGTGGCCAAATACACACTTGTTTTCCAAACATTTGCTCCTTTTCACCTACCTGTGAATTGCCTTCCTTCCCTTTGAAGTTCTTGACTCTCCCCACCCCAACATCTTTTCTCATTAGCTGAGGATGGTACTTAAGGTGAGGGCTTCAGCCATTTTGGTAAGTTACTTGGTTTTCCTGGACTTCTCCCCTATATACATGCTATTAAACTTTTGTTTGCTTTTCTCCCTCTAACTGTCTCAGGTCAATTTCATTCTTAAACCAGCCACAAGAACCTAGAGGGTAGAGGAGAATTTCTTCCTCCCCTACAGTACTTACACAAACCTAGATGGTAAAGCCTACTACACACCTAGGCTATACGGTGCTAATCTTATGGGACCACTGTTGTATACACAGTCTGTTGTTGACTGAAATGTCGTTATTCAGCTCATGACTGTATATGGCTTTGGGCAAGGCTGAATCTCTCTGTGCCTCGGTTTCCCAATCAGTAAAATGGGGATAATGTCTACCCTGTCAGAGTAGAGACTAGAGGAGATCATGTGTTTGAATAGATGAGATCAAGCACATAGTAGGCACTTAATAAATGTTTGTTATTATTGTGGTTATTATTACTTTGAAAGAATTGAGTTAAATAAGATGTAGTCTCTCCTCAGGGGCATAAAATCTAGTATGTGAGATAAAAGACACTTAAATAATTGTTATATAGGCAAAAGGTGACAAACGCTCTAATCAGTATGTGGAAACAACACCATGAGAGCTGTGGTGGGTTGAAGATAACTGCAAATTCCTTGACACTGCCTCCATTAAGAGCCAGGATCTATTTGTCCTTTTTACCTCCTCAAAACTGGGCTGGCCCATGACGACAGAATGCAGCTGAAATGACTTTGGGTGCCTTCCAAGGCTAAACCATCAGAAGCCTTGTGGCTTCCTCCTGATTTTCTCAGGATGCTCCCTCTAGGAACCTAGCTGCCATGCTGTGACCTGTCATCTACAGGTGCCCCATTGACAGCCCCAGCTGAGCATCAACTGTCAGCCATGGGAGTGAGCCGTCTTAGACGGTCCAGTCCAGTTAAGGCCCCGGTTGACTTCAGCTGTGCCAGCACCCAGCCACACCTTGTGATGCAGAAGAATGCCTAGTAAGCCCACAGCATTTCAAGAGATAGTAAATTATTGTTTTAATTTGTAAGCACTAAGTTTTGGGTAGTTACTTATGCAACTGAAAATAATCCAAACAGGAGTTAAGGAGAGAAGAGTCCATTTCAAGTCAAGTGATCATGGAAAGTTTCCTAGAAGAAGTGGGATTTGCGAATGTCCTTGGAGAGGTGGACTGTGACAAGAAGTTCTCCAGAGAAAGTCTTTCTAGAGAGAGGGAAGAGTTAGAGCAAAGACCCAGAGGCAGCAAAGGCAGGCTGCACCTAGCACCTGGCAAATATGAGGCTGCTGGAGTGGAGCACTGGGAGAAAGGGGCAAGAGGAAGAAGGGGAAGCTGAGGGATTTCTTAGGGTCAAATCATGGTGGCTTTGGGGACTGGCTCACTTTGTTGGCAGGAAGGAAAACTCATTCCTGCTCATCTGACCAAAGGGACTTTATGGGAAACAATGGGGCTCTATGGGTAAGAGGACAGGAATTTATGGGAAGAATGGAAATCATAGAGCAGCTAGACTTCCCAGAAGACACTGGAATTGGAAGGTTGCTCGGGATTCCCCCAATGGCTCCCCATCACATGCACAGTAACACCCTAAGTCCTCGTGGCCTGTGAGGCCCACTGCATGGTGCTCTTGCCCAGCTACCTCGCTGACCTAATTTCCTTTCACTGTCTCTTTCGCTCACTCCTCTCCAGCCACATCGACCTCTTTGCCGTTCTTTGAAGAACAAGCACATTATGGGCTCAGCAATTTGCCCATAGGTCCCTCCACCCTCCATCTGGACTGTTTATCTTGCAAATATTCACATGGCTTCCCCCTTCTCTTCATTCAGGTCTCTATCACCTTCTCAGAGACGCCTTCTTTGATGCCTAAGTAAAAATAGCTGCTCCCATACACAGTCCTCTTGCCAGCTCTACTTTTCTTTCCAGCACTTATTACTCTATTCATTCATTTATGGAAGCCCTCTTTAGTTTTTTTTAATCTAGAGTATTCCATCCTCCAGCTTTTTGTTATAATGGATTTTTTTTTTTTTTAATATACTTGAAGTTTTAGGTTCCCGGCAAAGTTGAGTAGCAAGTACAGAGAGTTCCCATATACCCCTGCCCCCATACCTTCACAGCCTCCCCCAGTATCAACATCCCATCCCCCACCAGTGTGGTACATTGGTTACAAACCATGAACCTACATTGACACGTCATTACCATGCAAAGTCCAGAGTTTACATTAGGGTTCACTCTTGGTGTCGTACATTCTGTGGATTTGGACAAATGTATAAGGACAGATATCCATCATTATGGTATCACACAGAGTGTTTTCACTGCCCCAAGAATCCTGTGTACTCCACCTATTCATGCCTCCCTCTGCCCCACCCCTGGCAACCACTGATCTTTTTACTGTCTCCATAGTTGTGCTGTTTCCAGAGTGTCATATAGCTGGAATCATAGAGTATGTAGCCTTTTCACGTTGGCTTCTTTCACTTAGTAATATGCACTTAAGGTTTCTCTATGTCTTTTCATGGCTTGACAGATCATTTATTTTTAGCACTGAATGATATTGCATTGTCTGGATGTACCACAGCTTATCTGTTCACCTACTGAAGGACGTCTTGGTTGCTTCCAAGTTTTGTTAGCTATGAATAAAGCTGCTATAAACATCCATGTGCAGGTCTTTGAGTGGACACAAGTTTTCAACTCCTTTCAGTAAGTACCAAGGAGTGTGATTGCTGGAGCATATGGTAAGAGTCTGTTTAGTTTTGTAAGAAATTGCCAACTGTTCCTATGTAATGAAAAAAAAATGGGCTTTTTTGGATGAGGAAGATTGACCCTGAGCTAACATCTGTTGCCAATCTTTCTCTTTTTGCTTGAGGAAGATTGTCCCTGAGCTAACATCTGTGCCAGTCTTCCTCTATTTTGTATGTGGGATGCCACCACATCATGGCTTGATGAGTGGTGTGTAGGTCTGCACCTGGGATCTGAACCCGCAAAGCCCGGGCCACCAAAGCAGGGCATGTGAACTTAACCACTACGCCACTGGGCTGGCCCCCACACCCATTTTTTTTATTGAGGTATAATTTACATACAACATTATCTTAGTTTTAGGTGTCCAACATAATGATTCAATATTTGTATATATTGTGAAATGATCATCACTATAAGTCTAGTTAACATCTATCATCATATATAGTTATAGAATTTTTTTTTCTTGAGATGAGAAATTTTTTATGGTGAGGAAGTTTGGCCCTGAGCTAACATCTGTTGCCAATATTCCTCTTTTTGCTTGAGGTATATTGGCCTTGAGCTTAACATCTGTGCCAATCTTACTCTATTTTGTATGTGGGATGCCACCACAACATGGCTTGATGAGTGGTATATAGGTCCACACCTGGGATCCAAACCCATGAACCCCTAGCCACCTAAGCAGAGTGTGTGAACTTAACCACTATGCCACTGAGTCAGCCCCAAGATGAGGACTTTAAGATTTACTCTCTTAGCAACTTTCAAATATGTGATACAGTATTATTAACTAGTTGCCATGCAGTACATGACATCCTCATGACATTTATTTTGGATAACTGGAAGTTTGCACCTTTTGACTCCTTTCACCCATTTTGCCCACTCCCCACCCCTACCTCTGGCAACCACCAATCTGTTCTCTATACCTATGAGCCTGGTTTACTTTTTTACCTATTTATATTTACTTCCCTGACTAGAACGTAAGTTTCATGAAGGAGAGATCTTGTCTAACGCTTAGAATAGTGCCCAAAATGGTGGAAAACAATGAATGCAGAAACGAACCCCAGGCAGTCCCAGCGCTCATGGTGTCTCGGTGCTTCTCAGCAGCAGGGATTTGTAGATCTTCATTTTAATTCTCCTCCATCATTCTCTGCCTCCTGCTATTCCCAGGCAATTCCCTCCCCCTCTGCTTGGCCGAGCTTTTCTCTCACGGCTTCTGCTGACGCATCTCCACGGCTTACTCACAGCTCCCCTTGTGCTGCCACTGCCTGTCCTGTGCATCTGTCCAACTTCTGCTCCTTCTGCCAACCTCCCGACTCTCCCTGGATTTCTAGCTGAAATTCGAGAGGCAGAGAATCTCATTGGGTCAGCCCGTTCCCCATTTAGACAGAGATTTTGGACCTTTGACTGTGTTCTGGGTCCTATGTCCATGCTGATTTAATCAGCTATGGCCACAGGCACAGAGCATGGCAACCTAGCAGCAGAGTACTATTATTTCACTCAGCGGAGGTGCATGGATGCAGCAGTGACCATTAATGACCTCTTGACAAAATGTCCAGGGTGAGTAATTCGTACTTCAGGGAGACATTGAAGCCTTCTGAAAAGAGCAGTGATTGACCAGATCTATGTTTTCAGAAGATAACTTTGGCTTCCCCATGAATGAGGCAGTTTAGTGACGGAAGATGATGGCATGTGTAAGACTGGTTAGAAAGCCATGGCCAGAGAGAGCTGATGAAGACCCAAACCAAGCCAGTGGCAGTGAGAGTGAAGAGGAGGGAGCAAGAGCAAGTGAGTCTTGAACCTGAAGACGTCCAGGCTGGACCAGGCACATGTGGAGTTCAGCAGAAAGGCTGGGTCTAGACACCCAGCTCTGGAAGTCATAAAGATATTATTTCAAACTGGGCGGTGCACAGTGTAGTAACAGATAAGGCAACACAGACATTTGGGGAACTCTCTTAGGTGTAAAGAGCTGATCAATAAAGAAAAACCTGACAAATGATCTAAATAGGAAATATTTACACAGATGAGTAGGCACTCAGAGTCACAGTGCCCGATAAAAACAGGGAAGCATATCCCCTACTCACTCTCATAGTCTCAAAAGCACAGGTCCAGAGGATCCTGCATTAGGTCCCACTCTCTTCCAAGCCCCAAGCTTCCAGTCTGACTGTTTTCCCGCAGAAAGTAATGATACTTCTTGGGAATCCACAACAGTCTAAAAATACATCAGCTGGGCTGCACTGCCATAATTAGTGGAGCTGCTGTCCCAGGAAACCCTCGTCACCATTTTGCTTAGATCAGAGAGCGGATTAACTTTGATGTCTGTCTGAACCCCGTGCGAGACACCGCTGGTGGTCTGCTCCCTGCAAGCGTTCAATCTTCACATCCAAGGGAAGAAGGAGAAAGGAACGGATAGCAGCCCGAACCAATTTTTTTTTCATAGTGATTGAGATGAAAATATGTACCCTAGGACTCCTGACACATTTGATTTGCATGCTGTCTCCCTACCTCCCTTGAGCTCTCTCTCTCTTTGCACAAATACCTTCTTCCCCCAGACCCAAACCTCCTTCGGCTTTCACAAACATTGGCACAGCTATGAAGCCCCAAGCCCTTTGTCTATGCCATGTGTTGAAGGTAATTTTTGAAATTTCTGATTCTATTGGGGCTCCTGGTGGTATGCAATGAAAATGAACTCTAAAGTCCCAAGGGAGTTTACTGGAAGCATGTGGGGTGGCCTGAAGAATCCAATGAACAATCGAGAATCAGACTGTAAGGGGAAACAATGAGGGCAGCTCCAGGATTACAGGCAAATGGGAGATCTGCAATAATCTCATCAGAATGTTGGCGGTGGAAAAAATCCACTGCAACAGTGCTGTCTGTCCTTGTGCACCATCCTCACGATTCTCATTTCGGAAAGCAAGAGAACAATTGGACCAGGTTAGAGTTGTGCTCACTGTCAGACAACATGAGCTCACTGACTTTTCAAAGCAGTCTAGATAGGTGGGAAGAGCAGGTCTTGCCTGGATTTGAATCCAGGCTCTGCCACTTACTAGCCATGTGACCTTGAGCTAGTCATTCTTGTTATGCCCCAGCTTCCCCATCTGCAAACGGGGACACCTATCCATGGGGGTTGGTGAGGGCTAATGGGTAAACCTGTGATGGTGACGGGCACAGGGGGAGTGTTCTGCAACCTTGGTATTAGCATTGATAGGAATGCACAGGGCCCCTGGATTTACAGTCAACCAAGAATGCCAAGACGAGAGGTCATTCTCCGAAAGGAAATAGGAGCTATTATTAGGGGAGGCTGAGTAGCCAAAAAGCAATTACTATCCACCCCCAAATCTTATCCCTCCAGCAGACTGTAGATGCCATGAGGACAACAGACTGCGCTGTTAATTTACTGCTGCATCCATCAGCACCTGTGAACCTCTGAATACACAAATGTTGCCTGCTTCCTCTTTGTGTTCCCAATCAACCGGTACAGTGCTTTGCCTGGAGCAGGCACACAGGAAGTATTTGCTGATTGAATTTATAGGTCAGCGGGATTCTCAGAAATGGGGAGAATACCGGGATCAAAGAGATGAACTTACATTTGTTAGGACTTGGTGGCAAGCAAGTGATAAGTAACTAGGTTTTGGCGTGATGATGCTAATAAGCTATATAAATGTCATAGATGGATTATGCCATTTGTGTAGATTATTGTTATTTGTATAACTTGTAGCCTGGCTGCTGGTGAGACTAAAACCTTTAGATCAGCATGAGGAGACAGAGAAACCACCAGTTACTTGCCACATGACCTTGGAGAGGGGGGTGGCTCATCTGTCCCACCCTGTTCCTGTCCCTGCCTTGGAGGCACTGCTGGCACCTCACTAGGATGTCCCGGCACACTCCATACTGGGTAGTAAGTGGGTAGGGCTCAGCCAGCCATTCTGCCAAGTTTGCTCATGGAGACGGCAAGGTGTCACAGAGGAGTGTGTCAGATTAGGAATCATGAGAGCTACCCCCCGGTCCTGGTTCAGCCAATGGTGTGTGACCCTAAGAAAGTTCAGGTCTCTGGCTCTCAGTGACCCGGTCTATAAAATGGGGCCATCCTTGACTTGCAGCTCACAGAGGTGTTAACCAAATGAAATTACACCCATGGTGATTCCACCTGGAATTCAACCTGTTGTAAAAGACAAAACCCAACTCAAACTGGCTTCCATGAAGAGGGGACTTTATTGGCTCATGTTCCTGAGAAGTCCAAGGGTAGGTGCTGTTTCAGATATAGCTGGTTTCAGGGGCTCAAGTGTAATGTCAGCAGGTGATTTCTCTCCATCTCTGAGCTCTCCTTCTGCTATACTGTCCTCACCCTCAGTCTCTAAATGCTGGTCCCTAGCAGCTCCAGAGTCTCATCGGGTTCAAATCCAGCATTTCACAGCTGGCATACACTAAGCTTGGCTTGACGTGGATCATGTGGCCAGGAGGATGATCAGGCCTGGGTCCTATGCCGATCAGTCCCTGTGGCAAGGGAGCTTGGTCAGACTTGGTTATATGCTTAACTCTCAGAGCTGGGAAAAAAGTAAGGATTGGGTTGGGGGACAAGCCCCAGCTTACCTCTTGGACTGAGAATGGGAGAGGAGTGGTGTGCCAAAAGACATTCGGAGTACTATTAACAGAAGGAGAAGTGGACATTGGGTTGCAAAAAATGGCAAATGTGCACAACACCTGGGAATTTTCTATCACGTGATATAAAGCGTGCATCACAGCTTCCCTCTTCGCTCTGAAGTCTTCTGTCCTTACCCTAACAAGCTCCTGTAGGCACCTGAGGAGCAGCTGCCTCACCCTGCAGTCGTCTGTCTTTGTCTCTGAACTGCCGCAGCCCGCAGGACCGTATCACTCATCCGCAACAGGCTGCAGTCAGGCCATTAGTTATCTTTTTATGTACATGTCCTGTCTCTTCAGCCACGTGGCAGGATCCTGGAGAGCAAGGGTCACGTCTTATTTATCTTTGTGTCCCCAGTAGCACTTTTCCTGGTGTTTGGGGAACAGCAGATAGTCTATAAATCTGCCGACAAATTGAACACCTGATTTATATTCTTGTGGAACCACAGAACTTGATTCAACTACAAAACTACAAAGAAAGAGGAAACCTGTGCTCTCCACACCATTTCTGAAAGATCATAGATCTTTTCTGGGCTAAATAATGCTGCTAGGGTGAAGATAAATATCCTCTTTGCTCCCTAGCCCCTAGCTGCTGGTATCATTCTTATTTATAAAGGATTGAGTGAAGGCCCAAGGAATCTTAGTCTCAGCTGCCCAGTACCCCTAGGCAGGTCATATGTGGGCACAGCCCACCTGGGAGGATGGAGGATGGCAATCACAGGGAGAGAAAGCAGATGTCTGCTCTCAGTGGCCCCCAGCCCAGGCAGAAGTCAGAGCCCCAAGGTCCCATCAGTGGGCCTGGCCACTGGCTCTCTGCCCTGGGCTGATCCCTATTTACTCCGCATCTCATTCGTAAACCTGACATCCAGTAAAAGCAACAGGGAGAGAGGAAGGGATGGAAAAACAGGGTCAGAAAAGATTACTTGTAGCTTGGATGTTGCAACAACATTCCTCTCAGGCCAGTCTTGGACCAGAAGCAGGCCCTGTGGCTCCGGTTTCAAAATCCCCCTGCAGGCCATTCTGGGTCAGGCGATTTGTCCCTTTTTCTCTAACACCCTCAGACTGCCCCCAAAGAGGTCAAGTGACTTGTTCAAAGCCGCGCAGCCAGGCCGGGGCTCCCTCACCTGTCAAGTGGACCGACTGATAGGAGGATTAACTCAGCGAGTCCCAGAGAGCATCGGCTCACGGCAATAAGGCAGAGCCCCAAGTCGCTAAAATCAGATCAATGGGGGAAGAACGAGAAAGTGTAGCTGGTAAAGGAGGGAGTGGTAAAGGAGTTCTGGAGGGTGGTGGGCAGAGCGGCTGAGGGAGGAACCAGGCTGAGGTCAGGGCAGGGGACAGAATAGGGCGCGCGGAAGCCAGCGCAAGAAAAGCTCCGCTTCCAAACCGCCGCTTACGCTGGGCCATTGCAGCGCGCTCAACGAGAGGGCGGGGAAGGCGGGGCGCGGCGGCCCCGAGGCTCCGCCCCTCCCCGCCCCAGCCACACCCACTCCCGCGGCCCCGCCTCTGGCTCCACCCCTTCCCTAACCCCGCCCAGCCCAGGTCCCCGCCCCGCCTCCTAGCCCCGCCCCCAAGGCCCGGAAGCGAAAGGCGCTCCGCCTCTTCCGAGCCGGGTCACGGCCGGGGCGGCTTGGGCCGGGCTTGTGAGAGCGTGGGGCGCGCGGCGGCTCAAGGCAGACCCCGGCCCGGCGCCATGTCCGGGAACCTGCGCACCGCCCTCATTTTCGGCGGCTTCATCTCCTTAATCGGCGCCGCCTTCTACCCCATCTACTTCCGGCCCCTAATGCGGCTGGAGGAGTACCGTGAGTGACCTCTGACCCTGCGCGGTGGCCTGACCCCAGTAACTTCCCCCCTCCCGGGTCATCTCCACGGCGGGCGGTGGAAAGAGTTTGGTTCCCCGGGCAGACCCGAGTTCAAATCCTGCTCTGTGCAGCATTGTGACCCTGGACGAGTGACTCAACCTCTCGGATCCTCAACATCCCTATCTATAATATTTATTTCTACAATACCTAAAATAAAACTGCCAGGCCTCCTGTGACACGCAAAGGTGGTAATGAAAGCAGTCTTCACTAAATTCATTAAATACTAATTCATACTCATAGTTCCCGTTCACTGAACGTTATTATGTGTCAGGTTAGGATACATTGGGTAGTTTAATTTGCACATCCTCTCTCTTTGAGGTAGGTTTTATTACCTGTTTTACAGTTGGGGAAACTGAGGCTCAGAGAGGTTGTATGACATGCTCAAGGTCACACAGCTAGTAAGTGGCAAGGCAGATATTCCAACCCAGGCCTCTTTCCAGAGCTTATGCCACACGCTGGTGCTGTGAATGGTGGTCTTGCAGGGAGGCAGATGGAACCCTAATCATCCTGAGCTTGAAGGTGTTTTATTGCACTTCATTTCCAGTCCCAGAGATGCCTTCCAGCGGAAATGTTTCAAACCTAAACTGTTAACCTGGATTTTTGAGTTTTTCCTCTCCTTTCTCGTCACGCCTTTTTTCAGATTCTGCTGTCTTCCTTCATTTTGAGCTGGTTGCTCACATGACAATGGCGAATATCCTGGGAGCAATTTTCCTCCTTAATCATTCAAGTCCTATCATTCTAAAAGCCAAACTCTCGTTCCTTGAGACCTATACCTCAGCGAGGATTAGCACTTTGATACATCTGAAACCATCTGTCAGAGAGAAAATATTAGGCATTAGAGGCTCATTTTGTTCTCCAGGAAACCTGAATCATCTTGAAGATGGAGGAGGGCCAACCCTGCCCCTTGAGAATATCAGTGGAGGCTGAGAGCTTGGCGGTTTGAAGGCAAAAGCCCCGTGTAAATGCGCTGCGCATTACAAACGCTACAACCTGTGGTTTCTGGAGGCAGGACAATTTAAATACTCAAATTGCCTCGTGGCTTCTTTTTAGCAGCCGGGATTGAAATGGCCTCTGTGCGTTCTGCCTTCCAGCCTGTCCCGGTGCACCGAGCGTTGTCGTAGATGTGGGGCTCTGTGAAGCCCTGCCTAATCTATTTCTACCGTCTTTCCCTGCCCCAGGCTATTTTATTACAGATTCCAGAGTTGAACTTGGGACAAGGGGGTCTGCTTTGGATCCCACCAGAAAAGTTTCAGTTATGAAGACTAGAGCAGTGGCTGTCAACTGGGCATGGTTTTGTCTCCTAGGGGATATTTGGTTCTATCTGGGGACGTTCTTGGCGGTCACACTGGAGGGGTAGGGTGGTGTGAATGCTGGCATGTAGTGGATAGAGGCCAGGGATGCTGCTCAACTTTCTGCAATGCACGGGACAGCCCCCCTATGACAGAATTACCCAGCCCCAAATGTGAATGGTGCCAAGGTTCAGAAACCCTGTTCTAGGTCAGGTGGTCAAGGCGTGGGTTTGTGCCGTGTATCCCAGGAATCTTATAGGGATAGTCTAGCATCTGTGGTGGTCTGAGTTGCTTGAGACAGACAAATTGGGCCTTTCAGGTGAACATTTAGTGAGTGTGGCTACAATATCTGCATTTTTAACTAGAAGCCTGTCTATGCCTGCGCACTTTTCGCATTCGATTTTGATTAATTTGGCCACTCATATCTGAGAGTCATAGCTGATTCTTTAAACAGGTAAATAATACTAGACAGCTAATATTTATTGAAAGTTTATTATGTGTCTGGCACTCTTCTAAACACTTCTTACATATTAACCCACTTAGTTCTCATAACATCCCTTGTGGTAGCTGCCATGTGATCGTCACTCTCATTTTATAGGGGACAAACCGAGGTATACAACAGTTAAGTGATTTGTACAAAGCTCACAGCCGGTGAGTCAGAGATCCGGATTTGAACCAGTGCCCTCGATCGCTACACCACGGCACTTGTACTGCCTCTCTAAGGGCCTGAGGAAAGGGAGTAAGGCAGATGAGAATCTAAATGCCGTACCAGGTGAGGGCCTTTAGATAAGTTACTTAACCTCTCTGAGCCTGGCCTGTTTCCTCATCTGTAACAGTGAAGTTTATAGGACTGAACTTACAGGTTTTTGGGGTCTTAAATAAGATAACCAGTGTGGAAACACCTAGTATATGGTCTGACATGAGCTTCCCATAAAAACAAGGAGCCACGAGTGCAGGGGAGTGAGACTAGGAGATTTAAGCAGGTGGACAGACCCAGGGCTGGCTGGCTGGCAGGAAAGGGGTCTAGGCAGGTGAGGTGTTTGTGACCTGGCCGTGGGAACCTGCTGTGAGGGCGGAGCTTCAATTCATTTCAGCACATTCAACTAGCATTTATTTAGTTTCTTTTTTCATGCTTTTAAAACCTGGATTTTAGCAGTTACTAGGTACCTGGCACTGTGTTAGGTGTCAGGTGTCCATGACTGAACAAGACAGCACTTCTCTCCATGTCTCTACACCCTTGTCCAAATATCGCCTCCCCCCCCCCCCGCCCCCCCCTCCCCTCCGACTGCTTGGACTCTGGGCTGGTCTCCCTGTTTCCACCAGACCCCAGCTGCACCCATTCTCCACCCAGCAGCCACAGTGGTCTTTCTGGTTACTTTTTTTTGCTGATCTCTACCTTATTTGCATTTGTGGTAAAAAAATGTGGTTTTGATTCTTTGGTATTGGTCAAGATTTGTTTTGTGGCTTAATACACAGATCAGTTTTTGCAAATATTCCCTGTGTTCTTGGAATGTGTACATTTTCTCCTTGTTGGGTACAGAGTTCTGTATATGTTCCACATCAAGCTTCTTAATTCTATTACTTAGGTATCTTGAGGCCATGTTATTAGGTGCACACAATCTAGAATATTCTGGAGAATTTTTTCCAATTATCATTATACAGGGGTCCTCTTTATCCTTAATATTCCTCCCCAACTCTATTTTATCTGATATTATAGTTACCAGCTTTCTTTTGGTTAGTATTTTCCTGGTATATCTGTCCTCTTATATTCAGCTTTTATTTGGACTTATGTGATAGTCTCATTGCCAGCCTCAACTGGATTCTTAAATCCAACCTGATAATGTCTTTGATCTGTTGGATTGAGTTCATTTTCATTTATTATGTTTACTGGTATATTTGCATTTATTTCTCCCCATCTCATTTTGTGTTTTTAATTTATTCTTCTATTTCTGTGCTTCCTTTTCTTTCTCCTTTTCCTTCTGCTAGGTTGAAAGTTTTATGTTCTATTTTTATTCTTTTGTGATTCCTGTTTAGTTAGCCAATATCTTTATCCTCCTAGGAACAATACAAGGACCTTAGAGTGCCTCAGCCCCGTCCCACACATGTGTTATTTCAGTCCTACCTTGTGTTTTTTCTCCCCAGTTAGTGCCATCAGTGTTTCCTGCAGTCACTGATTATTTCTCTTTACCCGCATTCTTTAATTACCAATCCTTCTTGTGTCTCTTTCCTTTCTAGTTACAATTTTCTTCCTTCTAAAATACATCTGTTGATATATATTTGATGAGAATTTGTAACTGGGAAACTCCATGCTTGTTTGTCAGAAAGTGTATAGTACTCCAGGTCTTCTGCTGTGGCTATTGAAAAGTCTGCTGTCATTTGTCTTCAGGTTGGGTTCCCTCACTTGCTTGATTAAAATACTTCAGTACCCTCTGCTGAGCTCACAGTCCAGCCGGTGGGGGATCATTGAAACACTTTGATCAGGACAGCCGGGTGAGCAGATTCACTCTTGACAGGCGTCACTCTGACGGTATGTGAAGGAGGGGCTGGAGGGACCAAGGCTGGAGGCAAGGCAGCGAGGTACAGGAAGGCTGTACTTCCTGTGGTCACAGGAGAGCAGGGAGAGGTGACTGTGGCCTGAACCAGAGTGGTGATTCTGGGACTGGGGAGGAGTACTGAGTTTGAGCCACGTTTAAGGGGTAAATCCTGAGGAGAGGCTGCAGTCACAAGCCTGTGAAGATACATCTTCGTGAAAAGGGGTGTGGTCAGCAGGGTTAGGCCGCATGAAGGCAGTAAGAAAGATGGGATCTGAAAATGTCCATTGGATTTAGCAAAACGAAGGTAAAACTCATTGGTTATTTTGTTAAGAATGCTTTCACAGGTTTCATAATAGGCAGAAAGCAGATTACAGTGGATTGAAGAGTAAATAGTGTATTAAATTGACTATTTAAAGATGTGTGGCTGTATGGAGAGGAGAATGACAAAGTATATTTGCACCAGGTCTTGGGGTCTACGGAGAGTTTTGTTTTAGTTTTGGCTGGGAGAGATGGGGGAGCGAAGGGAGTCTCTGCACAGAGAGAGAGGCTGGAGAGGGAAGACCATCCCCAGAGTGGGAGGTGGCCTGGGGTCTTGAGATCAGATGGAGGAGGGGGCCTTAGAACCAAGTAAGGACATCTCCGCCTCCAGCTCAGGAGGAAGGGCAGGTGTGGATGCAGCCAAACGTGGGTTTGATGTTGGGAAGTTGTGGGCGCTTCCAAGTGATGCCTCTTGTTCTGTTTGTGGTGCAGGAGGGCAGGTTATCTGTAAGTGCGAGGCACAACCCCCCGCCATTCTCTCCCTCCTTGAAACACTCCCTTCCCTGGGTTTCTGTGACTGCCCCCGCTCAGTCCTCCTGGCTTCGCTCTTTGGCTCCTGCCTTTCAGCCACTCCTTAGCCTCTTGTTGGGTCGTCCTCCTCTGACCATCCCTCATACATATGTATTCCCCAGGATTCTGGGCATATTGAAGAGAAGCCCATAGTTCTCGGAAGGGCAGGGCAGATGCCCAGTTCTTGAGAAGTGGAGCCAGTGGCTGGCAGGGGAGGAGCCCAGGCCATGTAGGGCCTACACATTAAGTCAGGGTGGGACCATCAGCCTGACCAATGCTGGCCAGCCTGGCTGTGGGGAGTGTGGGGACAGGTAGGATCCAGGGTCTCTGCTGGAATCAGCCTCGAGGCAGCAGAAAAGAGGAGGAAGCCTGCTGAGGTGAAGTAAAACCGAGGAGATCTTCCATGATTTAATAGCAGGCAAGCCACTATCACAAGACTGCCTATTGGATTTCCTGTTGACATTCAGTGTTATCTCCAGTTTCTTCACTGACTCATGCAGACCTTACTAAGTGTTCCATGGAGCACAAGGTCATTCTACCCCTGATACCTCAAGTACAGAAATGAGCCCTGGGGACACGGCAGTTGGCTTTGGCCCTCAGCAGTCCCAGACCAGAAACATGGGGACATTTCTGCTGTGCTTCTGGAGGGAATCCCAGACGTTGCTTTTTAGCTTTCATCCTGTTGGCACAGAGTGCTTTGAAGAGCCCACGTTGAGGGGAGCGTACAGATGCTGTAACTCAAAGCCTGATCTGTCTCCGTTTCCTACAACTAGACTGTGATCCTGAATGTGCCTTTTAAAGATAACGTGCATTTTATACCAACCTGTGAAATGAGATAGAATAAGACCGTTTTCTGTGATCCTGTTCGTTTTTAACTTTAATTAGGTGTGCAGAAGCATAAAATCATAGAGTCTTGCCCGAAACCCTGTGCTCATTCAGTTTCCTCATTTAGGTGACTTGTCCAAGGTCACTTAGCACATTAATTGCTACATGGACACTAGACCCTGACTCCCCAACCTTGTCTGCTGCTTACTGATGCCCTGTCTCACATGCCGTTTACACAGGGAGGAGTATTTACGAGCAAAGTGAAAGGCTACATGGATGAGCTGTGAGGAGACCACAGTTCTCGAAGTCAGAACAGGGTTATAAGGAATCACTTGATGCGGAAATAACTCTTACCTTGGAAGGGCATTTTCCCTATTACATGCCAGGGGCTTAGAATATGCTTTTTATTCCTTTCACTGTGGAGTCGAATGACGTGCACAGACAGACTAAAGCCAGCGTCACAAAGCTCCCTGGATTCACCCAGACTCTGGCGAGGAAACAAAAGTGTTTACAGTGTTGGGAGGATCCAGTGCTTGCAGTGGCCGCTTGGTCCCCCTCAGCCGCTGGTTCACACTCACCACAAGGGCATGCATGGCTAGTTCTGGGTCAGCCAGCTCACATCTAGATGATGCACGTGTCTTGGCAACAGCAGCAAATCGGAGCACTGGAAAAGTATTTTTTAAATTTTATATCTGCTATTTTAAAAAAGATACTTTGAAGTAATCATCATGGAAGAGTCACAGTGTTGTTGGACGTCATACCTGTTTTGCAGTTGTGCATTTTTCTTATCAAAAAAAACAAAACCCAACAGAAAAGACCTGAGAATAGTACAATAAATCCCTGTTTATCCTTCACCTAGATTTACCAGTTGCTAACATTTTGCCACGTTTGCTTCCCCTCTCTATATAGTATATATTATATATCTATCTATACATACATATATAGACACACATATACACATAGAAAATTATATGTGTGTATAATTATGACTGTTGTTTTGCTAAACCATTCGAGAGTAAGTTGAAGACATTGTGAGCTTTCATTCCTAAACACTTCAGCGTGTATTTCCTAAGAACGAGGACATTCTCTTACATAATTGCAATACAGTTACCCAGTCCAGGAAATTTCATGTTGATACAATGCTGTTATCCACTATACAGTCCCAATTCAAATGTTGCCATTTGTCCAATTCAGGTTGTGAGTTGCTTTCATTTTCCCTGTTCCTTGGCAAGAGGAGATGGGGCTGGGGTCCTGAGGTTGTACTGGCACTGGGTAGGGCTCTGTTCTGCACCTGCTTTTCGGTTTGTATGTGCTAGTCCTCTGCTAGAGCACCCTCCACTAGTCACTTAAGAGACTGCTGAGGGGGCTGGCACTTGGGTTTACTCTGTTCCTTTGTTGTGAATGTTAAAGTAACAAGTCACACAGTAGATTTAGTTCACCGTACAGACATTTAACATAAAGATATATTTTCATTTTCAAAGACTTAACAATTATTAGGTGGATTCTTTACCTACCATGCAAGAATCAGCCGTCTGCATGCATTCCCAGTTTTAATGATATACCTCGGCCCTTTGACTAGAGATTATGATCCTCAATTAAAACTGCAAATCAGACACTGCCTTAGCACCAGGGGGCAGAGTCGGGCTTGCTGAGACTCCGGAGTACGGACTTTTCTAACCTGAATTGCAAAGCTCCAGGCCCAGTGTTGCAGATTTGCATTTTAATCATTTCTCTCCTGATAGAAACATGCTCGCTACTGAAAAGTCAGCAATTAGCTTATCCTGATTTGTTCACTTAGTTAAAACCCTGACTTCTGTGTTGCCCTTTTCCTGAGGTTTTATAGACATTAGCTGTTTCTCTGATGATGGCAAAATAGAAACCTACTGTCAACCTCATCAAGATGTACTTGCTAAATCCTGAGGGACCAGTTTGTTTTCCTTTTAGCATATTCCGAATTCACAAATCAAGTGTCTTTGTGTCATATCATGAATTTATATAAGACTGCTTTGGCCTTAGAGTATTTATAAAACATTAATGGATTAAAGAACCAGGGGATGTAGATAGGATGCTAATACAGGTTATCACTTGGTAGGAACTGGTTCAGCAAACTGGTTTAAATTGCCTATCCGAGCCAAAAAAAAAAAAGGTGGTTGCATAAGGACAAGGATTATAAAGAGATTGTGGTCTATTTAAAATAAATCCTCAGCCTGTCTCCAACCTCATTAGCAATTAGCAAGAAAGTGTGGAGACAGGGATTCCTTTCTCTTCCCTTGGTTCTCCATTGCATTGTAGGAGGTTAGAGCACAATTAGGCAGTCTGTCCTTGCCACCAGAAGTCCACTTCCTTTGATGCTTGGCGATCTGCCAGCTTCTTTGGCTTTGCAGTACCTGCCTCATGGAGAACGTGTTCTGTACACCAGGATGTCTGATTTTCTTAAATCTGTAGGTCAAGAATCCTTTCTGGCAATCAATTATTTCTTAAAAGCTCATTTCTTCCCTCTTCCATAGTACTGGAGAGTGAACATTTTAGGTGTAGAAAATTGTATCTATTTTTGTCCCTGACACGATCGATGACAGTGTAGTCTTTTGCTAGTTGGCATTTTCTAAGAGCATGTTTGAAACACATCCATACTTTGAGACTTACATGTTGATGGTGTGGTAGGGCTCAATCCTACAAGAGTTTAATGTTTCAGGAAATGAGCTCACCTTTTGTGTTGAGTTATTTTAGAAAGTCTGACACCTTAAAGGCTCCATTATCATCCCCTCTGGATGGAAGAAGTCTTTTGGCAGATCTCGGCCCAGAGGGTCTTGGTTGCCGTTCACCTGCTAATTTTCAGGGAGGCCTGATAAAACCATCACACCATTGTCTATAATGGGTGTCATTATGCTATGCCTTCTCTCTGTCTTAGAATTGGATATCAAGATTCACATAATCCCTATTGCCCAGGGTTTTATTTGCCAAAGCAAAACTTAGCATTGATAGAACTATCAGGTAAATCACTTAGGATTGACTCTGTCACATCGCTGGAGAAGCAAGTTCAATGAATATTTGATTTGGCAAAACCCTGTTTCTTGTACCTTTATGTTTGTGTAACTTTATGGGAATCCAGAGGCCAGAATAAAGGAAACGGCCTAATATTAAATAAGAGCTAAATGTAGATTTAAAGAAACGGTGTCAACCTGATTAAAACAAAGTTCTGATTGCAACATTTAATTACTATAATTTAGTAGTAAACATCCTTTGGCTCCAAGTCTTTCTCCTGAAAAGCTACCATTTGTTTGTCAAGATACTTAAAATAATGAGTCTTTGTTTTCACAGACCTTGGGTTGATTCTAAACCACTTAGAAAGATGTGTCAGAGTGCTTGAAGCCCACAGACATAAAATGCCCAATTTCTCTTGGCCCTTGCCTGTTGGACATCTCCAAAGAGATCGGCCAAGCTGCTGTAGCTAAAATGCACTTACTAATTGGCACAGCACCTGCAATCAATTAGGGAAGCTTCAATTATCCAAAGCAAAGCCACCCACCCAAAGATTAATTTTCTGCTCTATTTCCTATCAAAAACATAGCATATTTAGCTCTAGGTCTGGTCCTTCAATGGAGTGCATTTGAGACGTGTAAACTACATCGTTTTCTTGTTAATTGTACTCGTTCCTTCATTTCAGCAGCCTTCCCCTCATAATATCATGCCCACCAGTTCTTTCAGAATTGTTCTTTTTCTGTTGTTTTGTTGCCTTTCCAAAATGCTGAGATCACCGAGAAAAGATGCTAGTTGGGAGCTTTTCTTTTGAAGTATGGCTTGCTTGCTTTTATTGAGAATACCAGATCTTTTTGCTTTATAGGATCCAACTTCCATAACCTAAAAGCTTTGAGTAATGGTGTCTCTGAATATAACAGCACTTGTATATATTGTTTTCTGATTGTCCCACGTAAATACAGAGATTTCCACCACAACTACCCCTTCCTCCTTTCTAAAGAGTAATTTTCCCCATTGTGTTTCTCAGAGAAGGAACAAGCCATAAATCGAGCTGGTATTGTTCAAGAAGACGTGCAGCCACCAGGTAAATTTAAAAAGCAAAACAAAATCTCGTTTGTCCTGTTGCGTTGTATGAGGCGTGTGTATGTGCTTTGCAGTGGGAGAAATCTTTTTAGCTTAGAGGCTGGATTGTGATTGTGCTATTTATTTCATAGCAGTTGCCATTTTATAGGTGCCACCCTAAGACTTCATTTTAATATTTCACCCCAGAATACTTTTTGCAAGTTTGCACGTTCCTCTTTTGCATTTGATAAGTGGGCATAAAAACGTAACAAGTGTGCAATTAAATATGAAGTGTGAATAGCTGTTTTGCAGACTTATTTACCAAGCACCTGTTTAAACACTACCCTCATGGGAAAATACTGTTTACTTGTGAGCTATTTTAATTGATGTAGGATTCTGCTTTATACAAAAGCTCAAAAGTTCCGTTTATGGCTGAATGGTTAGTTACTTTAAGATGATCCAAGTTGGCTGAGAATGAGAGGTTTCCAGCTTATTAACCAAAACTCTTGTAATCTGTGGCAACATTCTTCTTTCTTTCTTTCTTTATTAACTAGGCCAGATACATATCTTCCTGTTGTGGGGTAGTTTCTGAGCCACTTAAAAGTCTCTCACGGCTGCCGTGGCTTCCCAGCTGCTCCATCCCAGGGTTCCGGCAGCTTGCCCACACTGTCTCAAACGGGGTGCAAATTGCCCAACTCAATTCTGACGTCATTTTGTTTTTGGGGGGTTGAGGGGAGTGGTTGGAAGTTTCAAAACGAATCCTCTTTCTATTCATGTTTCTTTCTGTAGGGTTAAAAGTGTGGTCCGATCCATTCGGCAGGAAATGAGGAGGCTGTGCCCACTCTGATGGTGAAAGTGGACATCTTCATGCTTTCCATCCTGCAGCTAGCACAGTCAGTCACCTCCCTATAGAACAGTGGCTGCAGAAGAAAACTCTGTAATGCCACAAATAAGAGTGCTGTGCACAGGATTAACATTGCCCTTCTCAAGGATCAAAAGAACCCTGGAACAAATCACACCATTAGGAAGGTTTTCATGATTCAGTTTACTTTCTAAAAATGAAGCTGTCAGCCAGCTGTGTTTGGAAGCGATCTACTTGTTATTCAGTCTCTACCACTCACCCAGCCACGCTGCAATATGAATACAAGCGACCAGTAGACTTGGGAAGACCCTAGTCTGTTTCGCCATCTTCCAGCTAGGAAATTTCAGGGAAAAACCACCATGCGGAGCAGCGTCACAGGGCTCTTTGAAAATGTTAAAGTTGATAAATCTCTTTGAGGACAAGGCACACTGTACTCTTTAAGAATAAACATTTCAGCCTAACAATCTCATTGAAGGTTGCTGCATATTGGAAAATAAATATGAAGCAAGTCAAATTAAGGGTCTGCATGCATAATAGAAATCAATGTTGAATTAACAGAAGTGAAAATGTGTAAATTAAAATGACTTATTTTTACCTCACAATGGTGTAAGTTTTTTTGTAAATCCTTTTTTATAAATTCCTCAAATTATACCAAGAAGTATTATTTGCCCTGCCTATATTTGACTAGATATTTGACTGTGTGGTGTTTGTCAGTTTGTACACAAGTAAACATTTTAAAGGTAAATAGCAAATTTGTTGAGACAAATATTGATTGAATGCGATTCTCTACAGGTACCTCCCCAGGTGCTGAAAGATGAGCGTAAGAACACTTCTTTCTCTGGTGCTCTGTCTGGCCCCTTACTAGATTATATGCTTTCGAAGAGACATATCTTTTTCATTTCTACATCTCCCAGAGTGCCTTGCAAATTACTGTAGGCTCTCTTTAGATGAGCTGCTTGACAACATAACTTTTTTATTGTCAACTGGCACAATTAGGTAATTACTGTCAAAAGAAATAAGATTGATAGCTCTAAAACCAAAGTCATCTAAAACCAAAGTCAACATTTAATTGACTTACAGTTAACAGCCCAATAAAAAGAGTTGACTCATTCAGGGTACATTTGACCACTATTTTCCTTGGAGGGGGCAGCAGGAAGTTGTGTAACTTCAAGTCTAGCATTCTGTGGTGCTTCATTGAGATTTCTTTATGACTGAGCAAGTGTGTGTACCATCTGCTTTGGAAGACATCCAGGCTAAAATGGCTGTGTCTGAGTGTCATAGAAGAGAATTTAGGGGTCTCCACTGCCTGTGGAACAGATTCAGTTTAGTCTCCTGAGTGGGACCTCTGTCCTGGCCTTGACCCTGCCCTTGGTCCACCTCTTTGCAGAGATAAAGAGGTTCTCCGTCCTGCTCAACTGCCTTGATGTTCATAAAAGGGTCACTCTTCATGTTGTCAGAGATGTAACGTCAGACTCTCTCTGCCCACACTCCAGGAAAGCTGGGTTGTAAGAGGTGCTGCTCATGAGGATTCACTGAGGGCCTTGCCAGTCATCCACTCAGTTCCCAGGTGTGCCTCCGGGATAATAATGAAAGCACTCGAGAGAGGAGGTCTTAGTCGCATACATTTAGGAAACATAGAGTTAAAGTTAATTAGGTTTATTTGCTTCTAATTTGATGATTTTTCAAGAGAGGCATAGCGTTCCCCACATGCATTTGATCACAGAACATGTTTTATGGCTTATCTTCTGGGACTAGTGACAGCACCAACAACATCCTTTGAGGGAAGTCCTCCTCTAGACCAGTGGTTCCCCAACTTTTTGGTCTCAGGACCCTTTAAAACTCGTAAAAGTTTTTGAGAATGCCAAAGTGTTTCTCTCTATGTGGGTTACTTGTATAAATACTGTATTAGAAATTAAAACAAATTTTTAAAATATTTATTAATTCATTTAAGAATAACAAACCCATAGAGGTTAATATGACCTATTTTTGTGTGACGTTTATTTTCCAAAACAAAAAAAGTAATTTGAATTTCTTTAATGTCTGGCCTAATAAAAGCTAGATTCTTGTATCAGCATTTATTTCATTATTGCTATATCACATGTTATGTGGCCTCTGGAAAACTCCACTGTACACATTTCTAAGAAGATGAGAGTGAAAAAGGCAAAAAAGCTTTACAGGTCAGAGAGCCCTAGAGATCCCTGGACCACACTTGGAGTCTAATTGTTTTTCCTTGGATTTAGTCAGCCCTTTTGAGAATTGTGTATCTGGTTGTGTTAGTTCCCTCACAGAGTTGCTTGTAGTGAACTGTGCTTTGGCCTGTCCATATTGAAGGAGAATATAAGGAGAGGGGAGAAACTGACAAAATTTCTTATTGTTATTATCAAAATGAAATTGTTGGATCCTTCATTTTCAATGTCAAACAATATCCTCTTTAGGAAGACACTGGTTGACTGACTTATTTTATTTTCAATTTTAGAGGAAGATTGGCCCTGAGCTAACATCTGTTGCCCGTCTTCCTCTTTTTGCTTGAGGAAGATTGTCGCTGAATTAACATCTGTGCCAACCTTCCTCTATTTTATGTGGGATGCTGCCACAGCACGGCTTGATGAGTGGTGCTAGATCTGTGCCAGGGATCCGAACCTGCGAACCCTGGGCTGCCAAAGTGGAGAGTGCGAACTTAACCCCTATGCCACTGGGCCAGCCCCCTGACATTTTCGAAATCTCAGAACCAGAAGTAGTCACACTGCTGAACAGTTGGTACATTTATTATGTGAATGTTGATTTGTGTAACTTGTTTCCCTCTTTATATTGGCTGTTAGTGTTACTGCACAAAAATGGGGTTCTCCGACCAGATGCACATAAAAAAGCCAATTAATTATAGCATCAGCCTTTCGGGAAAGAAAACAACGTTATTGCTAGATCAATCTGCAAGGAGACAGGGGTGTGCCCTTAAATCTGTCTCCCCGATCTAGGGCTTGGGGCACAATTTGTGGGATGAAAGACAGGGTGGCCTGAAGTGTGGAGATAGACAATTGGAGGAAAGGAGGAGTGAGGTAACTGATGTGGTGATCTCCACAAGCCTAGTCAAGCTTTGTGTCTCTTCATAGGACGCATGTTCACAAAATGGTAGCATTACCATGATCTGAGGCTGGAGTTTTTATCTCCTTGACATCAGAAAGGTCATTTGTTGAGCATTTGTGCAGGCCCAGTTGATAGGTTGGTGGTCTCATCCAGCCTGAACTGGACAAGGGGTCACAGTTTCTGAAAAACCACTCAATTAATCTGTTGATAAGATGGGGTCAGCTGAACCCGTCTTGGAGGGCCCACGGTTGCAATAGGAAGCTCAAACATATTTATGGTCCAGCTTTTTAGAAAGTACCTAAGACCCTGTGCATTGTATTTGGGCCTTTACATTCATTTCATCCTTTTCCCCTCTCCCAACCTTATGTTTCTTTCTATCTGCTTTCTCACTTTAGTTTTCTGTCTTACCTTGTATGTTAGACCCCTCACTGAAAAATGAGGCAGGGCATAAACGGTATTTATTGAATTGAAAAACCACTTATAATCTAGTTAGGCAAGTGAAGCAGATTCACAAATAAGATTAAAATAATGTGCATATTAAAAGTGCCTTTAAAGAGGTTCAGGGTCTCTGTCGACAATGGACATATGCAAACCCTGTGTCCCTAGTTCTACTCCTAGTTATTTATGCAGCAGAAACGCATCCATAATTTCACCAAGAGACATGCACTAGAATGTTGACAGCAGCACTGGAAACCAGCCAAATGCCCATCAACAATAGAATGAATAAACAAACTGTGATATAGTCACACAATGGACTACGATACAGCAATGAGAATGAACCACAATACGAGGACCCTCACAAAAATGCTGAATGCATGAAGCCAACTGCAATAGTACTTTCAGATCCCATTTAGATAAAGGATAAACAGGGTAAACTAAGCCTTACAGTTAACAGTCAGGAGACTGGCTACTCTTGGGAAGGGGGAGGGGCAGTGACTGGGAAGGGATACAGGGGGTCTTCAAGGTGCTGATACGTTCCACTTTTTGATCTGGGTGCAGGTTACATGGGTGTACAGACAGTCTCCCACTTACGATGGTTTGACTTACAATTTCTCGACTTTAAAATGTTGTGAAAGTGATATGTATTCAGTGGAAACTGTACTTCAAATTTTAATCTCTCCCAGGCTAGCCATATGCAGTACGATACTCTCTCATGATGCTGCGCAGCGGCAGCCCCCACAGCTGCCAGTCAGCCACGTGATCACTCGGGGAAACAACTGATAGAACCATCCTGCACCCATACAACCATTGTTTTTCACTTTCAGTACAAGATTCAATAAATTATATGAGAAAGTCAACACTTTAGTTCGAATAGGCTCTATGTTAGATGATTTTGCCCAACTGTAGGCTAATGTAAGTGTTCTGAGCAGGTTTAAGGTCCGTGAGGCTAAGCTATGACGTTTAGTAGGTTAGGTGCATTAAATGCACTTTCGACTTAAGATATTTTCAACTTACATGAGTTTATCAGGTATAACCCCATTGTAAGTTGAGGAAGATCTGTATTGAGTTTTTAATACTTCACTGTGCTGTACAAATTCGCATACTTTTCTAAACGTCATACTTCAATAAAGTTTTTAAAAAGAGGTGCAAAGATTGGCTTTAGAATAAAAAGAAGTTGCAACTGATTGTGGAGTCAGGAAACTTTCCAGAGAACCGTGTTGTTCGATGGAAGGGTCCAGGTTCAGGACGGATGGTAGAAGTTACCCTGCAGGGTTGCTAGGAACTTAGGAATACTGTCTTCAGGGTGCCTAGGAAACACCTGGACCATGGCAGACGCCAGGATAATGGCAACTGCTGTCATTGATGGAGTGGCTGGCATTGGAATAAAGCTATGAAAATGGCTGGGATTCAGACAGGTGGCGAGTGACAAAGGTGTGGAGTCAGCAGAGCTAAGCAGTATTTGAGAGACGGTTTGGCTCGGATGTAGGTGTGTTGGGGGAGACCCTCTGAACCATGGCCTTTGCCTGTCCTGTGCACCACTGCCCTGGGCATGGCACATAGTGGGCACTCGTCAGTACTTGCACGGAGCAAACAATCAATTGAAAGAACCAGTGAGGGAACAGATGAAGGGAATGGTAGTTTAGGGCCATATGGTGGTGGACACCCTTAAATGTCAAGCCGATAAGTTTTAGTTAACTTATAGACATGAAGTATCGTAAGCAGGAAGTGGCCTGAAAACTTTAAAACAAAGCCAGAGTGCTCTCCTGGCGTAGTGTGGGGCTGTGTTACCTGTCCGTGTGACGGAAGTGCAGAAACAAAGAGTAAGCATTTAGAAAGTTAATAGCAGTGTGACAGAGTAGTTTTTAACTTTTGAATCTGATAAAAAATCAGGCTTGCGTCTTGTGTTTTTGCTTTTTAAAAATTTCTGATAAAATTAATTGGATTGTAGTTTACAGGCCCTCGATGGATTAGAAACAAAAAACTGGGGTTCGCCCGGGGAGTTTGATGAGCGCTGACCCGAGGACGAGTGGAAGAGGGCGTGCTCAGCTCGCACCAGTCCCCGCTAGGGAGTCCCGTG